CCCCCCCCCAAAAAAAGGAAAAAAGATCCTCCCACCCCCAAGCGACAAATCAAGGCCACTTGGTCACTTTAAATACAGGAAATGCCTTACCGCAACCCATCAAAAGTGATAACGAGATTACAACAAACAAAATACAACACTCCCCATCAGAGACCGCCAGGTTTAATCTTTTTTTTTTTCCTTCGTAAGAATTAATTTTTCTAATCATTATTGCTTTTGTTATTCCTCTTTTTAGGAGTATGAGAAAGTCCAAAGTCGTATAAACCGTAAATCAAGGCAGCGACTGACAGACGGAAAAGTTCGCATAATGGTGACGGCTGATGCACAAATTGGAAACATTGAAGTTCAGGTGGAGCGAACGCCAATGGCAACAACTCTCTGTGGTGACGTCACTGGCAAGGTGCCGTTGAAGGTTAAAATGGGCTCGCAAAATGTCAATAAGGTAAAAAAATTGACGCCTAAAGAAAAAAGATAGAACAACAATCGCACGAGCTCTTCGATTTATTCCGTCTAAATGCTTTATTTATCTGTTTATTTTTCTCAGCAATACCTTTCCGTTGATCTCGATTCAGTTTACATGTCTGAAAAAGGTACACCAGTTTACAAGCTTTCCACTGTAGATGCGGAGAGACGTAACCAGTTCCGCCTGGTGGTCACCGTTCAGTTCATCGACGGAGCCCGCAGTCGGTCGTTTGTCAGCCCATCATTTCTCTTACGGAGCCGCAGACCAGAAAGGAAGAAGTCGTCCTAATTCAATGACTACCTACTTGTTTAACTGACTAGTTACGAGGCTAATTGGGTTCCCGTCCCTTCGTAGGAGGAGCACAACTCAAGCCAAGCTATTTATAACAAAATTTGCATTCACACCATTCAAAGTAATCGTCTCTACATAAATGTTGTATCCCACAGGGAAACATCCAAAAGTGAAGGGAACAAAATTGCCCGCTCACCGAAACTAGTGATAACTGGAACAGTATTCAATAGTTGTTGTAGTATGATTAAGTCCACTAGTTGTTAAGAAAATAGCTTCCATACTCTTTTCAGGGGTTCAGTTAGTAACACGGGGCGAAGTAATAAACAGCGCAATAATAGAGCGAAAACGAGGGAATTTTGGGTCGAGTCGCAACCCGTTTCAAGCCTTCTTGGTTTTACTCCTTCGCCTCTATCGCACGGTCTTTTCAACGCGCATCGTTTTACTAACTGAACGTCTAGAACAGGCTGCCGAATGCAGCATTAATCTAACAATAAAAACTATTTAGTATGTAGTGTGTGGTATAATTACTACAAAAGCCGAAAATTTTTAAGTAATGTTCAATAATGAAAGTTAAGGGATTTTCCAAGCCTCTGAATAAAATTAAATTAACTTCTGATTTGAAAGAAAAGGCTGAAAAGGTTCTTAATAGAGGAAAGATGCTGAAAATGATCTTAATCGATCGTTGTACATACGGTTTCAGAAACCAGGCATAAGAAATTTTCTAGTTGGATTTTTGTATTTTAAGTAACTGAAAATATATTTGATAATGACATTTTTCGCTTATTTCAAAACTTAAGCATCTTTAATTTATGATAGAGCAATATGAAGGGGTTTTTTTAAAAACGTAGTAGAGAGACGGATTTGTTGACGTAAGTCTCCGCGATGAAGAGAACGTACTCCTTTGAATGAATGATTCATGGCTCCATCGAATTCCATCATTATTTAATTCGAATGATGTGACTGCGCTTGACAATATGAGATTTTAAGACTGTTGAAGAAGAAAAGCTATTTGAATTGCACATTTTTTTTATTTAAAAAATTTCCCAGTTTTGTATGAATGTACCATGTTTATTTAAATGAAAACGTTAATAAAGTGTACTTAAAAGAAATGTTTAAACGACTGTAGATATCAACAATTGTGATTAAAAAACCCTTGCACTTTTGTAAAGGCCCTTGCAATTTTTGTTTCATTCAGAACGATGACTTATATTTCTAGCATAGTCTTATCACGCAATGCGTTACCGAAACGTTTGGTCACGTTACGGTCACGCGTTCGTGACGTGACCAAACGATGGCTGCGAATCGCAGATATGAAAATGTTAGGTTAGGTTGATTTTTCTCTCTTTTAACTATTCGATATCAGCATGAGGTACGTCCAATCGATTGTTAATAGATTTAAGGCCATCACATGGCACAGATTAAGAATATTTTGAGGTTTTAACAAAAGAGACGTGATTCGAACATCTAGTGACATTTCAAAATGGCGTCTCGCGTGCTTGTTATACTGTTTGGTGATTGAGAGTAACGATAAAATACGAACAACCTTTTCGTCCACAACGAAGTCTGCCGAGTTTTACACGATATTCTTCGCTCTTGGCTTTTGTTTGTTTCGGAACATCTTCGATCGTTCAGCGTTTGGTGACGATTTCTTCGAATCGCTTCGATTGTTACACGGAGTATTAGCAGGTAATCACACTATTTTTCGGTGCTTCTTATTGTTTGTCTCGTAGTGTACTACAGAAGACGATAAACATCTCACAATCATTTAAGAATGGCGCGTGAAAAAAGAAAGTTTTACCTCGCAAAAATATCTACAAAGAGTGATCGGCGTATCATAAATATTAAGAGGAAAAATGTTTTCCTTAAAGACAGAGAATTTTACCGCTTTAATCAGCGAATTAATCCCAGTAGATCCGAAGGTGTAATGTTTCCAGTTCCAACCGTGACACTGCAATAGATGATAAACATTTCAAAATAATTCCACTGTGGCGTCTCCTGCACGTTATTGAAAAAAAGGCTATCAGTTTCCTTGCAGTAATATCTAAATTGGTATGATCTGCACATCGTGGAAACTTTGAAGGAAAATTTCAATTTATTCGAAAAGAGATCATTTTACCGTTTTAATCAGCGACAAATGCTTAGTAGAGCCGATAAATTTGCGAAGCATGAAACAATGGAATGGTAGAATGGTGGAATGGTGGAATGGTGGAATGGTGGAATGGTGGAATGGTGGAATGGTGGAATGGTGGAATGGTGGAATGGTGGAATGGTGGAATGGTAGAATGGTGGAATGGTAGAATGGTGGAATGGTAGAATAGTAGAATGGTGGAATGGTAGAATGGTGGAATGGTAGAATGGTGGAATGGTGGAATGGTAGAATGGTGGAATGGTAGAATGGTGGAATGGTGGAATGGTGGAATGGTGAAATGGTGAAATGGTGGGATGGTTGAAAGGGAGAATGGTAGAATGGTTGAATGATGGAATGATGGAATAGCGGAATGGCGGAATATTCTACAACGCAGAATGCCTTGTTGAATGAACAAAAGTTTCACAAAAGTGGAATTGCAATGAAATGAGAAAATGGTTTATAATTAACAGGCAGATCAAAATTAAAAGAAGGCTAGCCTAATCATTATTGAAGCCTAAGGATAGACCGATGGAGGAACAGTGAGGTTTTTGAGCTAGCCCCTATAATCTATCATTACTATTACTTTTGTCATCATCATCATTATTATCTTTGTTACGTTGTTATCGTTAATATTATTATGTGTTACCATTTAATTAGTGGTTGAGTGTCAATTATTCACTGTATTCCTGAATCTCCTTTCTCTTGTGGAACAGGGCTCTCATAAGTATGTGGGATGCGGCAGATTTTCTGTTTTGCATGCGAGACAAATCTTCTGCAGCGCTACCTTCTAGCATCATCATACAACCCCAGGTTCTTTTCAATGCTATAAAAACTTCTGCTATATCAGTAGCCATATGCAGTCTGAACTGCCCATCTTTTTAAGAGCCATTGAATATCCAATCTCGAGCCCAGGTTCACTGTTTGCTCCTTGTCAGTGGTATGTAGGCCGATCAGGTTCAGTCTAATAGCCTATCGTTTATTAAGAAGGGCAAAGATTGAAGCCTTTACTCCTTATGCTTCATACGTTTTACAAAAGCATTATTTTTAACCCGTGTCAAAATTAAAAAGTGTCAATATCCAGCTGCAGTGTGGTTCAGTTATTTCGTCAATCATGACTACCGTCGGCTTTAGCTCATGGCACAAATTACAAAGTTGAATTAGTTCTATATACGCGCTAAGTTCACCATAGTGGGATGGCATAACAATCAAAGCACCTGAAAATACATTGTAACGAAAGTATTTCAAGGAAATTCTTAAACTGACTAGGTAAAATTGATCCATAATATCAGCCTGTTTCTGGAACCTGGTTCCCAGTTAATCAAAACGATCCGATTTCCCGAGTTCACCTTAGATTACCGAGACGATTTCGATGACCTGAACGATCATGCACAAATACGCGATTCTAAGTTGACAATCTTGTTCGATCATAAATTATTATTTGGCATGACTTTCACGTAATTGTCCCAATGGCTTAGAGGGCATTATCTAAGACAATCTGGAAAGCAGAGTTAATTGTGCCAAAGGTGACGGCCTCTTATATCTCAAACTAAAATCTACAGTCTGGCACCAACAAAAAGGGGAAGAAAACCATATAATCATTCAAAAGTCTTTACTAGAAGGTGTTTTGATAAGTGAAATTTGCTTAATCATGATTAACACAGAAATTCTGAGATGTATTTGTTACTGATTTTTTTTTTGTACTTCGTACTCACAATAAAAGATGCTAGAAGTACAGCCTAAGATTCTTTGCAACAAATTGTTTGGTTTTTATCTTACTTTCAGTTTACCGTACCTTCAAGATAAACGAAAACCTCGACATGCATTTGTGAAAATATTTACCCACCATTTTGTTCACAGAGGTTCACTTGATGTCGCTGAATCTCCCAGATATCGCAACTGAATCGTATCAAACTGGGAAGAGTTCTCCAACAGTGTGTCAGCGTGCGCTTTAGATCCCCCTCTCATAGAAAAAATCACATCTTTGAAATCCTGTTTAAAGAATGTGTATAATAAAGGATTGACCAGCGGACTCAGAAATCTCAAAAACATGAAAAGAGTGTCAGTCCAATAGGGGATAGTGAGCACTTCCTCAACACCCAGGTCATAAGACAAAGATAATAGAAAGTAAGGAAACCACCCAATTACGTAAAAGACGATCATTGATGCGTAGATAAATGTGGCTCGCTTTTCCTTTAGTTTATGACTTTGATTCCTGGAAGATGCCATAAAAAGGGCTGTCTGTTTGTCTATTTCTTTAGCGTGCCTTCGCAAAACAGAAAAAACTTTGCTGTAAGCGATAACAATGATCGTCAAAGGAAAAACGACGAATCCGAAGATGCAAACAAGGTCGTAAATGATTTCGGATTTCGAGATACCTCGCAACTGTGGGACGCCATCTTTGATATGAATCCACGTTAGTTGTATGAAAGACGCAGATAAAGGAATAAGCCACAAAGCAGACACGATGACAGCGTATTTCTTGCAGCTGACAAAGTCGTCTGGTTTAACATGGCGTACGATAACGACGTACCTCTCTACAGCGATAACTAGTAAGTGAAGAATGGAGGATATTGACAACATTCTGCTTATAAGATCCATGCTCAGGCAAAGGGGTCCACTCCACGAATGACGTGTTTCCAAAAGCTGGCAGGCTATGATCAGTGGAATCGCACAAGATCCTGAAAAGAAATCGGCGCATGCAAGGCTTGTCAAAAAAATGTTCGCCGGTGTACGAAGAACCTTTTTTTTCCAAACCAAGAACACGACGAAGCAGTTGATAGCAACAATAAAAATTGACATTAAACCTAAAAATGAAAAAAACACCACCGTCTTGTTGTGCTGTCCTGTTTCGTTGTCTTCGAAGGAGGCATTTGTCATAATAACTTGTACAGAGTTCCGCTGCGCCATTCAAATATCTTTGCCTTCTGTCTTCCCTTTCAATTGATTTCTTGGCCTTGAAAACCTCTGTATCCAAATACTAAGAGAGCGAAGCATGTTATACCAGTTAGGCATACGTTCAGTTAAAAGACTGAAGTGCTAATAAACTTAAGTGTTTCAGTGTTTCCCCAAGAAAGGGGGAGGAGGTGGTAATCGCACAATGCAGTGGAAAGTGATACTGAGGGTATAATGAGTATGTTATGGAGTAAAGAGGTCAAGTCGGAAATTTTGGAGACCCGGACAGCACAGGCCAAACAGGAATCACAAGGAGTACCTCCCCCGAGTAGCATTGTAGTATTTAACCTAATTGACAGTTGTGTAAATAATGAAAGTATGCTTGAGAGCAATAAATCGGAAATGCCTTTGCATTTGAAGCTCTCACAGCAAACAAAGGTATGTGTATATATAATTATCTCAATGTCTTTCTTGTCTTAAGTGACTGAATATAAGTTCCCTATTTTGGTGGGAAGAAGCAACTCATCATACGCGACTCGAAGCCTTATACTAATTGTTAAAAATGACTGTGTATAGCGAGGGTCTTTTCTTCGGCCAACCGACAAATAGAAAAATATCCTAACTGTAATGTTATCTGCATTCGGCCCCTTAGAGGTTGCTTGTGGTCCATTCAGATTTTTGTTTTTGTTTTCTTCATTGATTAAACCCATAAAGTGTTGATAAAGAGAATGAATTTATACTTATACCATGAACAATTGCTCACAATTCTAAAGCCGCAATTGTCACTGATTAACCTGATGACTTACGAAAAGTTACTTAGTAAGGAAAAAAATAATGACTTATTTCAAATGTAACTAATGATAGGTGCTCACAAACCAAACTAAGATTATTTGCAATGCATGCAAAAGTATGGCATAGGGTAAAATAAGGATTGGACCATTGGACCCTTGGACCATTTTTTGGACTATTTTTAGACCATATTTTGGACTATTTTTTGGACCATTTTTTGGACCAATTTTTGGACCATTTTTTTTGGACCATTTTTCAAGGACAATTTTTCCGGAGGAAGGCAGACCGTTGGCACTAAGGGAGGGGCGGGATGCAATCTATCAGTACTCAGGGAGGTGCGGTAAGCAGATTGTTGTCACTGAGGGGGGTGAAAGACAAATTAAACTATCAATACGCAAGGAGGGGTGGGAGTTTGTTTTATTAGTAAATGCTACTGATTAATGGAATTTTCCTAGGATCATCTTACTTATTTTGAGCGGTTTTTCGACTGAATATTTTTGTCAAATTTTTGCGCTGGGCCGTAGTGTTTCCATATTTTTCTGTCATGCGAATGCAAAACTGGCACCCAAACACTAGACTAAATTGTTATCGAAGATATCGCCCGTTTTCGATCCTCAACTGCCAGTGCTAAATGATACTCACGGTTAGCGTGAATCATCCATCAGTTGCTTCACGTTTCCCTTTGTGTATACAATAGATCATTAAATTTAGCTATCTTCCTTCTGTCATTGATCTTATCGGACGGCAAAAAACAAAATTTACATTTATTTGCTAATACAACAACCGCCCAGCTCTCCTCGCGTACTAATAGTTCGTCCTCCACCCCTCGCTGTCTGCTTACTACCCCTCTCTGAGTATTGATAGACTACATCCCACCCCTCCCTAAGTACTAATGGTTTGACTCCCCCCGATAAAATGGTCTAAAAATTGGTTCATAAAAAGGTCCAAAAAAGGGTTAAAGAAATGATCCAAAAAATGGTCCAAAAATAGTCCAATTTTTGCAATGGTCCAATGGTCCAGTCCATATTAACCTATGCCTAGAATGTCATAATTACAATAATTAAGCCAAAAAAGAACGCCCAATACTACTTGCCTTTTGCTTATTTTAAAAATACTCTTTCACTCGGCGTAAAGTGGTCCCAAACACAAAATTTAAGAGGCCATTTATCATCTTAAATTTCTAGTCCGCTCACCACCGTTGAATCAAAATTTGTTTTCATTTGTGTCAGTCATGCCAAGATTTATCGAGATTCAAGAAACAGATGTTATGTACATTTGACGAAAACGCGAGGAAAGAAATAATGAAACAGCGAATGAGAATGTTGTCTGCAATTTTTAGTTTTTAATGAGTTGTATTTCTTGTGTTTCAGGCTCGAAAAGATAAACCGATTGGAAACAAGATCTAGACAGTATTCCACTTTGAGTGAGCTTCAGCGACTTTTTTTCAAATCCAAATGTAATATCTCGTTTGCAGAGACGGATAATATTGACAATGAGCATGCGAAAGTGTAATTGAATGTGATTTCCTAATAAAACGGCCTTTTACAAGAAGGCACCAGGGTTCATTTGCATTTCCATCAGATAAATAGGTTTTGATCGTTCTACAAAGGGCTAGTTTTTCTCTATGTCTACCAGCTGCAAGAATTCATTTTGCACACTCTATAATATCTGCATTCGGATTTTTGTTTGTGTTTATTTTTCATGAGCTCATGTAAAATAAGCACATGTTTATAGCCTAACGCTCTAGGTTTTTTCTCAACATCTCAGCCTTTCGTTATCACCGGCAATTTTCAGTACTAGTGATATTTCTCCAAAATTCACAATCTATTCTTCTTTTAGAAACCAGTGCTCTAAATCAACTGAAAGGCAAGCAGTAGCAGATGACTGTCAAAATGTTGCAACTTAAACTTACTTCTAATCTGAAGTGCAATCCTACTTCATTGACAGCAGAGTAAAACACGCCTTTTATCCTTCAGAGATGACACGTTATTTGAATGAGAGCAACAATTACCAAGACGTGAATCTTAAACTTTTCTCCAATTAAGGTTTAATCTGGCGCCAGACGTTCATCAACGAAATTAAAGAAGGTCGCCAAAACATAATCGCTTTGCCGGGTTGATTATTCAGAAAACAAAATCTAAATAAAACAAAGAAGTGAAACGCAATGAAAAACATTACTTTACATGTGATGTCAATCAGAGAAAATATATAAATAAAAGGCTGAAGGTGCTTAATTACTTGGGGCTCGCCTCTGTGGCATGTGACAAAAAGCTGATCAATAGTTGATTATAATTGTTTCAATCGATAACGTCCCGCAGATGGGCGTTTTAGGTGGAGTTTTGTTTTGTGTCACGATTTGAGTCAAAAAGAGCCGCCGAACTATAAGGGGTGGCATCCAAAAGAAAACAATAGGTGCCAGAAAAGACGATTTTCATTTGTGATTTCAAGTTACAAAAGTTATACCTTGTGCGCCTCGGTCGCTTAGAGGCCTCAAAAAATTTTTCGAGTCAGTTTCAATATAGCAAGGGTTTGAAAAATTGTTAGTGCTAATTATTAGTATTAATCATTATAATCACTTTCTTCCCCTTATGTAACACTTTAAATTATACTTACGAACTTTGAAGTAAAAAAGAAATCATGTGTTCTTTGCCGGTGTTTAGAAACAAGTCAATCTCGTGATCAGTTCCTCTTGGCACTTAAAGGGTGTAACATGCAACACAGCGGAAGAAAGCTGGAAATATTTACAGCCTTTCTCTAACAGGCCAACGACCAACTACACCCTCAGATTATTGATCAGTAACGTTTTAATCCCTTACAAAGTGCAAGCACAGGGCTTTCGCTGCTTTTAACTGCAAGGTAAGAAAGTTCTACTTGATACAATAAGTATATTTAAGAGTTAACCTTGGATGTAATATGGAATTTACAGCCTTGTTGAGCGCTAACGCCTTTTTTCCTAAGGACGGCCATTAACTCTGTTTTTTTTTTGTTTTTTTTTAGTGCTCAGGTGATGGTATGAAAAGAAAATAAAAAATAAATGGAAAAACCATGAAGTGGTTAAAGTGAGCCCGATCCAACTCCTAGCAGCTATGTATGGTTCGCGTTCGTATAAAACTTGTAGAAGAGCCGCTGTTACAAACAACTTTTCCCAATAGTAACCACTCAGAGTCATATTTCACACTTGCAAAGAGCACGCGTAGAAGATGGCGTCTTTGTTGTTCCCCGAAACTCATCCCGCAAATTTGACTTCAGTTTTTTTTCTTCTGCGAGAATCGTCAGGCAATTAATACTTCCACAAGGTGAAATGACAAAATTTTCTCACCTATCAAAAATCTAATCTCTTCTAATGCGTTCACCATTCCCTCTGACCTCAACTCGGAGACAATGAAGCAATACAAAGGTTTAACAATCGAGATCATCTTAGTTTGCAAGTTATCAAAAATTATCAGCGCTCATCTTGTAGATAATTTCTGTTCGATCGAGTCATTATGACTCCTCTCTAGCTCTCCCTCCATTCTCAGAACTGCTGTATGAGTATGAATCGAAATACATGTGCTGGAAGAGAACTTTTCACACGTACACGGAGAGCTGTTTACTTGAAATCAGGACTTCCTTCGGTAGAATTATAACAGTTAATTCTTTCTCAGAATTCAAATTAATATACGCTAGCCTTTCCTCAAGGTTATTGATTTTATGTTTCCAAAGAAGAAAGTGTGTGTACTTTATAAGGAATTTAACGCTTACAAGACGTCCAAGGAAAAAATGCCAGCAGAATTTAAAAAATCGCGCCTAGTCAAATATTCTAGGACTGATTATACATCATAAGGATCTTATATAGAAATATCAAAAAGGCGTTGAATTTTCGACCCTAAATTGCGAAGTAAAACACGTTTAAGAGTCAGTGACATTAATGACTAAGATTAAAACCGTGTGAGAGGTAATCCATTTCAGTTGATCCACTGTATGATTATCTGGTGTTGATTTAAACACTTTTTGAAAAAAAAAAAAAAAATAGGGTTCTCAAATTATGCGACTCACAAATACAGTATGTTACCTGATTTTTGTCTCTCGCATTCAGGTTGGCTTTTCGTATATAGCGCTTAAGTAAACTCCAAAGTGCACTTGAGATTTCTGACCATCCAACTCGAAATCTGTTTGCATGAAGAGCTTACTGTGACAACAGCTTTACAACTGCAGCATATCGAATCCTCTTTTGCCGCTTATTAACATATTTGCGTTCAAAGTAAAAATTGCTTTTTATCATATCCATTGTCCATACGCAGGAAATGAAGTTTTATCGAGAAACTCCCATTGAGTTCATTCTTAAAAGCTATAACAGATGATTGAAAATATATTACAAAGATAACAAGGATCGTATAATAAAAAACTCGCCTTCAAATTCATTTGCAAAAGATCAAACAGAAACGGGAGACTTGCCTGATAAAGTGCACTGATAGGTTGTTACAGCAAGTAAAAGCTCAATGCGTTGTTTTCATAGTTATTTAAATTTTTACCAAGCAAGAAGTTTAAACTATGCACTCATCTTTTTCCGTCGTCGCCAAGGATTTATATAGCTTCAAGTTAATTCTAAGGTAAATTCAATGCATAGGACATTTATATCGAATTGAAGTTTATCGTGTCGTTCTTGTACTTCATAAATTTCAATATATCTTGTTCTTTATTTAATATTTACTTTAAGAATAAATGTAAAATGCGGTAAATAATGTAAAAAAGACAAGTTAAACACACGTAACTTTGACTAGCGTGAGATGTAGAATTCTTGGGGACCAAATCTGGGTACTGAACCAATAGGTCAAGCGAAAGATCACCTCATGGGGTTCCTTTCCCTTGCTAGGGGAAGAGATGTAATGAAAAAAAAAATGCGTTTAAGAGAAAAAATCTCTTACCTTCTTTTTTCAGAGAGCATCGTTAAATTTCGACCTTTCTATTTGCATAGCGCTTACTACAACACTCAAGTCTCTTTAGTAAATGCAGCTTAAGAGAAATCCAGTTTACCATGAAATATTATTTGTGTCACTCATCTTTTGAAGCTTATCTTTGCCAAAAGATTTTTAACTCCGGTGATGATAGGAAGTCTTTAATCTCACAAATGCTCCAAGCGTCAAATGTCACCGGTGTTTTAAAGTGGTATGAACATTTCTGTCAAAGGTAGAGCCAGCTCTATTAAGATGCAATGCACATCTCTCGAAACAGGAAAAGCTTTTATACTTCTATAATAATTGTAATTAATATTAACGAACTCAACCAAAATACTATTCGCGATTAAAAGCTGACGACACCTCGGCTTCAATGATACAGAGATGCTATTTCCCGCATAGGTGAGATAAAAGCCTGTGAAGCTAAGCCAGTTGTTTGTGGTAAATTTTTAAGAGAGATTTGTTGAGAATGTAAACATCCAGCTGGTTGACTGACTTTTATAACCCATCTGGCAACCATCATTTAGTTTTCTTTTTTTCGCATGCATCATTTCATGATCACTTAGGCTTTTACATTTATCAACGCAACACATTAAATTTTAGTTCATTATCAATATGAGCGTTGGATTCGAGTGAGATTCAGGCCAGCTCAGAATGTGAATTTAGCCAGACAGTTAAACTGTGGTCCAACATGAAGACGAAGGTTTAGGAAAGCTTGAATCAGTAAAAATTAATGCAAATAGTCTTTGACTGAAGCTAGGTTCTACCGGAAAATGTTTTTGAGCTATATTCTTATTAAATGCATGTCACATTTTACAATGAGTGCAATGTTAAAGTAATAAGTTGAACTTTGTAGCCATCAATATTTTATGTAATGACGAGATGGACAATGGCACGGTGGGAGATACAACCGTAAAAAAAAACAATTCGTTATTTTACGAAGTGCATCTGACCTCGAGCTTAGCCACAAATATTCATTAAGGTTTCAGTGCAAAAAAAAAAAAGAGGTAAAGCACTGAGCAAATGTGGACCGATTCAACGCCATCGAAAAAGCGAAAATAGTCGCAATCAACTAATCGTACTATTTAAAATAAGGATCCCAAACAAAAAAAAAATTGCAAAAACACGATAAAAACGATCGGCGAAAAAGGTTTGAACAATAAAATACAAATAGTGAACATACTTACATGGATTTAGTTCCAAATATAAGCTTTGTTGAATCACTGGGACGGTAATTTCCGTAATTTAAAGTCAAACGCCGTCAAAGTTGTATCACAGTCGCGGGCTAAAACGTTCAAATGTAACTTAAGTTTAAATAACACACTTTCAAACAGTTCTGCATTTCATTCGCTGAGAGTATATCAATTACACCCAAAAAAGCTGAAAGACGAACTTAGTTTTCTATGGTAAAATTTTCCGCAGCACAGATTAATAACAATATCGACAAAGAAGGCTAACGAGCCTAATACAAAGTAGCGGCTAATGTCGGCACTATAATAAAAGGAGGAAAAATATACTTACTCGAATAGAATTTGAAGGATATCACGAAAAAATAACAAACGCATAAAATTACAAAGCCGAAAAGAACTAGCTACCGGAAGTACAGAAGGCTCAATTGAGGCTTGAAGAAAATGCTACTAGCTAAAACACGAGGATTCTCATGCGTGGGATATTTGTAAAAAATGGAAGATCACAATAACAAGAATAGATTGAGGGCCCTACGGCACTTCACTTAAATCTAAAGGACGAATTGGGTATAAAAACCACCTACTATATTGACAGAAAAGAGCGCTTACTTTCAGAAGCAATAGTTGGATACTTTGTTGGACCAGTTATGCTTTTTCATGGATTCACAAGGATTCCAAATTTTTTTCCATGTAATGTATAATTTGAAAGCTCACTTTTTTTTTTTCACGCGCACAAAGAAATTCGTAAAAGCGCTATTTCTATGACAGGGAACTATCTATACATAAATCAAAGCTGATTGTCAGAATAGATCCAGACAGAAACTACGGAGACCAGACAATCTTCACAAGGAATGAACTAAATTACCAAGCGGAGGCTACACGTAGATGTGTGATCAAGACAAAATTTCTCATCACAGTGTTAATACAATATTAAGCAGAAAAGTGATGAGAATAAAGAAAACTACCTGTTAGAGGTTTATTCGTTTATCAAATACTAAATTCTCCGAACTAACATCATAAGAATTGTAACGCAGACAGTGACGAGAATTACCAACGAGATCTCGGGAGAAGGGTTGAGAAACCCTCGAACATGAAAGCTACCTTACGAGAACCAGCATGAGCCGAAATTACGACGAAATGGAAAAAGTAGTTATCCCTTTGCGCACGATGAAACAGGAAGACAACTAGGAGACCGATTCCGAGAATACTTTCGCGACGTAGAAAGAATGACAAGGACGCATCCATACCAGTCGCTTGACACTTTAACTTTCCTAATCATTCTGAGCAGCATACTGCAGTTTGCGACCTTTCCCTACATCCAGGTAGTTAAGAAAGCCGCAAAAATCTAGACCAAAATTTGGCTTTTTAATCGGCACTTTTAATCACTACGGTATCAACAAACACTTTTCATACAACTAATTTATTCTTTTTTTTCTTGTTTTTCTTTTTACCATGTTCCCACCAATAGGATAGCTCCATTTTCTACACATAAACACACACAAAACCTACAATTCCTCAATTCGCTAGGACGAAGAGCTAACACTCGAAAATTCAGCTTTGAAACTCTTCACATTGGCCAATTTACGCTATGAACTCAGTTGATATCAAATTACCTTGTTAAACTTACTCAGCGACGCAGCATTACAGTTTCTTAAGAAACATATCCCCTTTACTCCTTGTGTGACAGTCGAATCTGACTCAGAGTAAGAGAGGCTTACCTACATACGATTGTAATTCAAACTAGGCTATGGTTCATTCGTGTTACACTTTAGAACATAATTAAGGGATAGTAAATGTTTTAACTATTCTTCCTACTAATGAAAGTCCAACCCATTTCCTTGTATTTATCTTTTAATATCCTTTTACGTTCGTCTAAATATAAGAGCTTCCCTTTGTTATCATAGCTAAAACTACACCCCCAATCTTTTAATGGTGACGCAAGTATTGTGTTTTGGAATATCTACAATCTATAAAGTACCGTTTCCGAAAAATTTTTTTTTCTTTTCTCGTGATTAGCTTTAAAACTAGTGTAGGAAGATTTATCTTTTAGAAAATGTCATCCGTAAATGAAAATAGTTTGAGTATTTCGTGCTCGATTTTAAAAGCCTGAATACTACTACCTACATTCTCCATTACCTTTTTACAGCCAAAATGTCGACAGCAGTAATAAATAAATACAGAGAAAAGCGGTCACCGTGTCTGACGCTTCTTTCTAGATAAAAGCACCCCGGCAGTAGCAAATCCATCATTCATAACTTCACATGATACATTTTTATACTTTAGTAACAGCGCTCGAATGTTATGTATGAAAGAAGGAACAAAGTTTAATTAATGCCAAGGTCTAATTGAAAAATCAAAATTCAGTGTGTCAAATGCCTTCTCGAAGTCAATGTTATCAAAATGCTTAGAAAGCAATAACGTTTTGTGTAAACGACAGGGTCAACAATTAGTCTTAGTGCACAGGCGTGCTTTGACCAGACATCATAAATAAAACAGTCGTTCATTCGTAATTTAAGTTTGAGACACTTGGGAAACTGCCAAAAAACCACTGATGATTGTGTATTTTTACCAAAACGAATGGCAGAATACATCGTACTTTATTTTTGTTAATCAACGGAGTTGAAACGCGAAATATCGCGAAATAACACGATGTCATATAGAATTCCCACCCGCTGACCCTCAGTATTTGGACTCCCTGCTGAAACATCACGCTGTCTTTCACGCTTAAAAAATGACCTATTTTACGTATAGACTTGAAAGACAAGAATTGACGACTTCAGGCAACAGTTTCACAAACATAAATAAATTATTACAAAGTCACTGCTGTCTAGGAGGTTTGGAAGGATAAATACAGAACAAACTCAGTTGAATGAGACCCAATATTACTCCACTTGCATTTGGGACCTGCCAACCAAGAAGAAAAATAAAAATAAATAAACAAATTTATAATGTACACTTGTGAACCAGCTTGAAGGCCTGTTAAGTCAGGCAGAAAACAATGAGCTGCATCAAAAACTTTTGTACAATATTGTCTTCACCCTTCATCTTCTCTGTCACCATGCCAAACTTTGTTATTTCAATTTAAAAGCTGATTAACATGAAGTGCTATATTGTGGAAACCTGATTATTTAAATACTGGGAGAGGGAAGGGTGGTGGTGAGGTTCACACATGAAAGACCCCTGGGTAACCCATCCAGGGGGATTTACAGCAAATAATCCAGTGGTCATATCGTGCTTTTTTTTAGCATAATAACAACACCAATTAAAATAAATGGATCAATGTCAGTATCTGGGCAACTGCACACCTACCCCTCCCCTAACCAAACCACAGTCAACCAATATCACATTAGGGTTAATGTTGGGTTAGGGGAGGGGTAGGTGTGCCGTTGTTCAGATACTGATGTCAATCCCAATAACTCATACAAATATAAAATTAAGACTTCATTTGCACCTTAATGTTGATGTCATCCACAGCAATCCCATAACAGAGCCAAAGAAAAGACACCAGAACCATCATAAATGAGAATATAAATTGCATGGACTCTGTACTTTTGGTCCTTACAACTTTAGCCTGCAGGAGAAAAGGGATAACCATTGCAGTGAATATATTAAATAGTATTTATTCTAATTTCCTTTTAATTTTCTTTTTTTCAAAGAATTTTGCAATCAAGATTTCTTTCTCTAAAACATTTGATTTCTCCAAATGCACAGCATGGGTGACAAGCTGCATCACTTTAATATCATTATTTCATAGTTTAATTGAGATATAAAACAATACTTTCATACAAATCATATATGTGTCACCAGCTGTTGACAAAACAGCGTCCTTAGTGTTTACATTTTTTTCTGCTGTAATTTGAGTTTGAATGGAAAAGCTATGTCCAAAGAAATCAACAAAAGAAGAAAGCAGTGATCACTATAACAGACAGATGATGGTAATGAAAAAGTTTAAGACAACATGGGTTACAGTCACAGACACAAATATGGCAAACACATGGCAAAAGCATGTACTAGAAAGTCATGAAAGCATGAGTCAGTGAAATTTAATTTGAATGAGTTGTGAGACATTCATAAATAATTTTCCTGATAATTTTAAAGAATATTTTGACCCCCAACCATTTACCCTTGATAAAAAGGTAGTCCTAATACCTAATATAGGTAGTCATGTAGTCCCAATTGGCCCATGGCAGGGAAAATCAAATACCAAAACTGCTTATTCTTATTACAAACTTTTGTACATTTTGGTGCTTGCTGTTTATTTAATGTAATGTGACTTCATATTATAAGACATTTTGATCAGCTTGAAAGCTGAACTTGTTCCAGCAGACTTCTACAAATAACATCTCATGGTTACTGGGAACTCTGGCTGAGACACATATAAAAACATGATAATCAAGTACATTTTGCTTACCACTGCTGCTAATGGTGAGGCTTGCATTGTAACAGTAAAGATGATGCATGCAAATCCAAGATGTGCAACCCGCTGGGTTTCCTCTGTAATATATTGCATTATGTAAAAGTATAGTGCCAGTGATACAAGTGCAGCATATACAATGATCTTGAGTTCCTTTCCCTTAGGAAGAAGAGAACTCCATAAGATTTGGTATACTGAGTGATGAACGCTTTACAGTACCCCCCTTCCTTAAAAACTTTTTCGGTCTGCAGGAAGGGGCCATCTATAAAATGGTAAACCAAAAATGATTTGTTTAAAGTATTACTTAATGTAAATTTATCCTGTTTTTTAAGTCAGTCCCTTATATACCATTTTATCATTTGATACTAGGACATTGGAACATTCAAGCAATATTGATGCTACTTTACTACACTTTAGAACAGGGCAAAAAAACTAACAGAAAACAGAGCAATTAAAAGACCACACTAAAAGATCCCAACTTCTGTTTTTACATTTAAATGGTGCAACATGTCATACAAATAAATGGTTAACTCATTACTGATATTTTTCCTTGTCCTTATGCAGGTTGGAAAATACAATGCAACTCACAAAATATCAGCACATATTATAGGTTGTATCTATCTAATTGATTAGGATTAAGACAGTCAAACAAATAAAAAAACAAGCAAATGATCTATGAAGAAGAAATACAAACTCTACTTGAGACCTCACTTAGATTGGTATGTGTGGATTTACTATCAATGACCTTACCTTCTGTTTACAGTAGTAAAGGAAACACAAAATGTAAAGTACTTGTAACATCATTCCACTTAAATTGACTGGAATTAGTGCAGAATCATTCTTAAGAATACCATAGCTTGCCCACATCATACAGCTGTACACAAAGGAAATAGCAATACATCTTGGCTAAGCAAACATTTTACAATACATTGTAAAATTAACCCTTTAACTCCCATGCATGATCAAGACAGAATTTCTCCTTACTATATTTCTACAATATCATGCAGACAAGTGATGAGAATAGAGAAAAATATCAATTATGAGATTACTAATTGATCCGATGCCAAATTCTCCAAACTAACACAATGAGAATCATTTAGCAAATGGTAAGGAGAATTAATAATGAGATCTTGGGAGTTAAAAGGTTAAATAATGTACATTCTACTGTATCCAGAATGAACTAAATTGTTGACAATATCTTTGCAACTGAGCTATGGAAATTTTCCACACTCCATTAAGTTCCAAGGATGAAACTTTGAAAGGCTTCCTCTACTTCACACAGGGCATGAAATTGCGCCTAATACAGGCGCCAATGCAACTAAATTTTTCACTTTGGTGACCAAATCCTGAAAGTTAGTCGTCAAATTGGCGACTAGAATGTTTCATCATGACCTTACCTAGAGATATAGTGAATTAAAAAGATTTGCTAAGATAAATCTGCGGCAAATTTCCACATTAGGTTTGTTTCCAAAATGCAGCACATGCATCTCGATCGATAACTAGACGCCATCTTAGATTTAGGTGAGCTTGAACGTGGCATATCATCCATCCTAGTGTCCACTTTGTAGCAGGTTAAAGATCTTTTCCTAACTTAATTTCTAGAACGATGACAGCATAAAAAAAAGCTTTTGTTTGTCTTTGAAAATGGTGACCAACTTTTTTTTGAACTGGCTACCACTTTGAAGAATTTAGGAGCCAAGTGACTATCAGAAAAAAAAAATTAATTTCACACCCTGTTTACAGCAAACAAACTTAAATCTTATCTTTGGTAACAAGCTGACTGAAATTTCTGATGAACAAGGGAGGCAAAATTTATGCCACAAGGTCTACTTATCTGGACAGGCTTTTAAGCAAAACCAGCATATCAAGTAAATTGCTCATTACTAACCACAAAGCAGAAATTACTTACTTAAGAAATGTTGTGACAAATGGCAGAAGAGGCACATTATCAGTGCTTCCATTCTGGACCATTTTCTGACATGTCAACCTGTCCAAAAGACCAAAGTGAAATGAATTCTTGCTGTACACTTTTTATTTCTGTATTAAAGGCTGGTAAAAATAAAACTTTATTATACAGTTAAAACTACAAACATGATTTAAAAACATGTATTGAAGTTGTATTTTAGCATTAGTTTAATGCTATGTTCTCAACCAAGATAGATTGGTGTTATCAAATGAGTTGACAAAGGGCTTGGGAAATTCTTCTCAGTGGCTAATTCACATTATCAACTCAGTTGTTGAAACCAAATTTTCCCATAATACCCCCTATAGTTTCTCCAGAAACTAACCTAAGTTTATCCCTTCACTGATGTTCTCACTAGGCTGGCCCACTACATATTTATAAAGTAATCACATATATCAAATTATGCAAATGATTGCCACCCAATCAATTGAATATCAGGACAAGAAAATTGTTCTCTCAGCAACAGTGCCATTAAAAAATCAATTACCCAATCAAAGAACTAAAAATACAAGCCCCCCCACTAGAGTCTCCTGTCAGGAAAAGTTTCATCTTGAAGTGTACAATCAGATATGAAAAGTTTGTGGAACATAAAGGAACATAAAGTTGACAAGAAATGGAAATCCTTGCCTCATATACCAATAATAAAACTCACTGAATCACAAAAGCGCCTTTTGTGTTTTTCCTATTGTTATTACAGAGTTCCCCCACAAACTCGTACGCTCACAAAGATTTACTTTTGCTGGCAATTAGTGATTAGAAGTTATCGAGCTACGTGTTCTGAACCCTTTCTCTTCACTTCAGTGTATGCGTGTGTTCACATTTCGGGAAGATTTCCATATAACATCATACTTTTCCAAGACAAAACCATTGTCTTTTAAGGAATCTATTACTTTGCCTGTGTTTTCTTTCATCCATGAGCTGTATGCATACGTAAATGTTAACGTATTGGGGTCATACGGAAATCTTGCCTCTTATTTGAACAAAATCGTTGCACCACCATAGATAATTTTAGTCTCAGTTAGGTAAAATTTATGTAGTTCTACAGACGTATTGTTTCCCATCCCTTTAGCTTGGGAAAAGAAAGTTCATGAGGAATATTATAATAAGAAGTTTAAGGGCAGAATCGCACATAATTTACTCACACGCCTGAGATGAAAAATCCAACTGTTGCGATAGTGGCCGTCCACGACAGGAACGAAATCACTGATGACATTTCGATGTAACAGATTCTTTAGGAAGAGGGGATATATCTTGCAAATGTACACTTTTTCGCAAATAAATAGTATAAAGTACTCGACATCAGTTCGTACTGTTTCCTATTAAGAACAAAGCGCAAATACACGCCCGCAAAATTTGTGCACTGCGGTTCAATTGACTCCTTTGTAGAATACATGTGTAACTACGCTAAGTGTAACTATCAGGACAAAAACTCAGTTCAAACCTCGTTATTTTCACCAATTTTCGCCGATTCGATCGTGTTCTTCTTCTTCTTGAGTAAGCGAATGTTAGAAAATATAATAGTGGTAGAAGGGAGAGGAGGAAATAAAGGCGTTTTGATCTCTCCAAAGCTTTGTTCGCGATTGTAATTAATTCATAATCCAATCTATTTATCGAAAAGTCATAACATCCTTCCGATTATCCCGCAGAGCAGACCTCATTTGTGCTTTTTAAATCAATTTTCCGTTCTCTTCCTTTAACGCATGAAGCGTCTCTCGCACTCGCCTCACGCTTACCTGCACGCCTGAAAAACGCTAACACGCCACATCTGCCAGATCTTGTAGGCTACCTTACAATAAACACGATCAAGTAGAGAGGTATAGGTTACTAGCGGGGCAAGAAAAATATCAAATGGGAACCAAATTATCCGAATTATAGCAGCAAAAAGAAATAAATTAATACAGGTTCCTTAGTAATCATTGAAATTTGAAACTTTTTTAACCCCCAAGAATAACCGAGCTTCTAATTTCTCCTCACAATATCACTGCCGAGTCTCAGGTCACGAGATAAAAGAAAAATTAATGAACGCCTACTAAAGAAGCTTGCGATCGCATGTTAAACAAATTCTCCTGATTTGTACCATCGGAAATGTATAGAGAACAGTAAGGAGAATGTAAATATTGATGTTAGGAAATAAAGGGTTAAACAGAAGGGAAAATGAACACCTTTCAGGGAAAAAAACAGTAAGTCAAAAGATATCCGTTTTTTTTTCTGAGTCGTCTCAGGCTCTGTGAAGAAAGTAACAGTCGAGCACTTTTTCATTTTTTTTTTTTAATTTCAGCACAATAATCGTTGTTTATGGTTAGGATTAGTGACAATTCACCTATAGAAGTTACGAATAAGCTGGTGATATAGTTAAAATAACCTCACCCTTCTCATTGGCAATACTGACATTTTCCGAGCTCAATAAGAAATACAAGTTGCGTTCAAGAATAGAAACTTTGTAATGGAGAAATTTAACGCTATAAAACTGCTCACATTTCAATATATGGGAAATCTACCCAACTACCCCGAAAAAAAATAATAAAAACGAACAAAAACAATTGCTTCAAACATACAAGGAAGAAATTTCCTAAACAATGCGATCAAAGAACCGCGCCCCCGATAGGCAAATTCGTTATTATTGCGCAATTATAGCGGTCATTGCGTCTTACTACAGCTATTATGTCAGCCACAGTCAGCAATTCAACTCTTTATAGTAACCTGTTGTATTTGTATTTTATTTGAATCTTTACACTAGAAAGTATAAAAAAAACCAACATTATAAATTTTAATTTGACCTGTTCAAGAAGGCCGCCTTGGGAATGTTCACTTCTACATCCCATTTACCTAAGTTGCTGAAAATTGTTACTTTATTTGAAACACTGGACTTTTTATCTTGTAAACTGTGTTAGTTTTCACCAAACCGGCGATATTATAATCAGAAAAGAGGTCTCTTGAACTCGTAATGCTCAAAACCTTTTCCGATAAAGAGGCTAAAGTCCAGTTTCCCTAAATAAAGTTCTTATAACTTTTTCAAATTAAATACAACATCGACTTTAAATAAAGCCTTCAAAAAGTCCTAACCTCCTAACAAAAGCAAGCGAAAAATTTATGAGAACAGAGGACTCTAAAACTAGTTCAACTTAACAAATCAGTTTTCAACTGACTGTCCAAAAACTAAAACCATAGTAATCGCAACGGATAATCTTAACAAAGGTTTGCATCATAAATAGCCAATGAAAACTCAAGTAAAGAGAGGCAAAAAAAACAAAAGTTCGGGAAAACGCGAGCGACGAAGTCACAACTGAATTTTGTTTAACGTCTGATTTTTTTGAGCATGGCGCGAGTTTCCTATGCCAATCACTAAGGCGAAGTAAATCAAAACCAAAGTTATCCGGCTCTCTTTCGAAATTCAATCAAAAATTACCCTTCCACTTCAACCTCAAATTCAAGACCTCACGTTATCTCAACTTTCACAAACTACACATGATTTTAAAATTACTCAGATCACGTGCTGTGGGCGTGAGAACAAAAAACAATTGTCATTAGCAGAGGGGAAGAGAAATTTTGGCTCGAAATTCGTTCACGAAACTAAAAGAAATGTCTCAACTCTTCAAAAGTTCGCGACTAGACAACAAGCGCTGAAGGATAGCAAAAGAAGGACAATCCACTGGATGATTAAAATTCTGCTTCCATTACACGAACACTTGATAATAGATCTATCATTGTCAGTGCCGTTTCTCCTCGTTTTTCTCATAACTTTCCACACTCCCCAACTGAATGTAAACACTTCTGAGCAGTTGCCGGACGATGCCAGGTACGGAGGTCCACAAACCGGTTTGGCATGTTCCGGTGTGTACATGCTACTGTCATGGCGCCCGCCATACGCACAGCGGTCGAAGTTCAGAAAATAGATTGGTGGCCCTGCGAGATCTAAGAGCAACACTAAAGAAATCACCTCGGAAACTGCACAATGCTGGTAACATTTATGTTATGTATCATCAAAATTTCAAGAATCAAATATCAATATTTTTTGTGAATCGATTTTAAGGAACGTATGATGACATTTCTCACATTCTGGAGACCTCTAGAAAGAAATTCAAATCAAACATAAAACTGTCCACTCGAAGGCTTCTAATCTCAACCCCTTTTCCCACGACAATAAACTGTTATTTCGTAATACAAACTTACTTATAATATTCGGATTAAGTTTCTCAGGCTTTCTCTCGCCATATGGTATTTTCGTCTTGAGGTTATCAAGGTCAAAAGGTATGTAAACGTCTTGAATTTTCTATGGACAAAAGGAGTAGGTACGCAATTATTCCAGGTGACCCAGGATAAGTGTAAAATTTTTGTTTCAGATCCGAAAGCTTACAAGAAAATCCAGCGTAATCGTCTAGTCTAAGTCAATTCTAAAGAAAAGAATATAGAAAACATTATCTCATATAGACTTATGAACGAAGGAATTAAAGAAACCAGGATTAAAATTTAACATTGGGTTAGCGCTAGTTGGCCGTCGAACAACTGGGCCCAGATTTTAATGAAATATCAGAATAAATTCCCTATCTCCTCATCAGACAATGCTACAACACGAAACAACTGGTACTGTCTCAATCTTAGTATGTATTAAAGCTATCACGTACGTAACGATGTGACTGGCACAACAATTAAGCGATATGGAAAGAGCTGGGTCAAGTTTTGAAACTTCCTTCGAAAATTCCCTTTTATCGATTGCCTCTTTCGACCCTCAATCATCAATAATATTTCTCCATCTAGCTGGAAGATATATCAAAATAATTAACGTACCACATAGGCATCTTCATAAGTACACTCCAGGTTTGGTTGCTTACGATTAGACCCAGTCTGACACAGGAAGTAGCGGAAGCGAGTTCCCGGAGTGAGTACTTCGTACAGTAAAAATCCCAGGAGTCCAAGGAAAATGATGAAGCCAGCGATGAAAAAGAACAACCCTTGAAAAGCATAACGAAATTTTCACAGATTTTCTAGTGCCCTAAATCTTGTTTAAGATTAGAAAGAGAAACTACTTGAACAAAAATTTCTTTGAAATCTAGAATAATCAAATATGTTCGAACAAGGCGTTTGCTAATGTTTGTTTGTGAATGATGCTTTGTGCTAAAAATAAAACAATACTTACGTCGGCAGTTTCTCTTGTTAGACTTTCCAATGGCCGCTTTGATGTCCATGTCGACATTTTCCATGATGTTCTCTACCTCGCTGGACAGCTGCTGACTGTTGATTCCCAGCACAATACACACAAAACACTTGACCAGGTTTGCTTCATCGTGGTAGCGAGGCTTGCATGGCTCCATAGCCATGCCCAGAAGGGTGTGATCCCTAAATATGTGAGCCCCCAGGGGCAAATGGGACTCAGCGATCCCTGTTCCTGGGTTGTCTGTGGAAGCATAGATGCGTTCACCAGTTTGCGCAGACCCAACAATCAGTACCTTCACCATTCCAATTACACATATAATATCTGTTTCTCCTGCAAGTAAATGGAAGTTTATCGATTTCGTAAAACAAAAATAGGCTCAGGAGTCATTCAAGCATCAAATGAAATGTAAATGCTTTCTGGTGGAGAAAAACTGTTAATGGTAATGACAAAGAATGTAAATAGACTTCTTATAGCTTAAACGTCGGAAGGCGATATGGCGTTATTGGCTCTACTATTGCAAATGTTTGGAGCACAAGGTTTGTTGAATGTGACTTTTCCACATCAGCTCTCGATCCCATCACTTACTTTGGACTCTGAATGTTTGTACGAATGCTTTAGGTCTTATTTTACTGAATGTTTCTTTTCAGAACTGTCATTTCAGGTATTAGTCTCTGGCTTTAAAAATACTACGCGCCCAAAGAAATGCTCATTACTCATCGCCTCGGGGGTTGGATGATTTTCTTCGTGTCATGATACGATTTACCTGTTCCCCTCATAAGGCTCTGTTATACTGTGATGATCCCCACCCCGCCCCCTCCCCCCGTCATTGGCAATTAATTGGCAGTCAATTTTCTACAGCCTCCCCCTCATTCTCTGTTGACGACAACTGATCGCCCGGTTTGCCCCCCGTTCCCCCTGATAACCATGCCCCCTCCCAAAGAAAAGAAAATCCTTCGACCCCCTCCCCCCTCCTCCGGCAAAATATTGACTGGTTTCTAAGTGAAAGCATATTCCTCAATCAACTTCTGAAATAATATCCGATCATGAATTAAAGTACTAACCTATTTCTTTTTCCGACGGAGCATGTGCTTCTACGTATGCTGACCTGCTGATCACCCCGGCCATTACCGCTCGTGTCGCATTCTCACTGCTCAGCGGTTCAATCTGAGCCATTCCCTCATCGTTGGGGAAAAAACCCACCACTACCCCTTCGTCTAGGGTCTGGTACAAGCTCGGTTTGGTTAGTCGTAAATGGTACGCGATATCACCTCTTCGTGTTTGCAACAGAAAGGTGACTGTCAGGTTGTCAATGTTTGCTTGTTGGGCTTTCAAATGATTCACCACAAGATCATCCACATGGTTGGTTTCACCTTGATAAAGAAGAGGATTCGATGTAAACAGTTTTTATCCCTAGCTACCCTTGGGTGTCATTTGATCATAAAAAAAATTATAAAAATTACCTTCCGAACTTGAAGGAGAGTTCCTGGAGGCCGCAGAACTCAGCGATAATGGAGACGTTACATCTAAGACGAAGAGAAACACAAATCAATTTGAGGCTTGGATAACTTAGGAAATTTACATATATTTACATATGATAAAGCATGCGGCGTTTTACCTTTATACCTAAGAAAAAGTCTCTTAAATAAGCTACGTGACTATGTTGAATGTTCACAAAGACTGCTTCTATGTTTTTTTTTTACCCTAGTGGTCACAAGTTAGATTTGATCTTAGAGGTCTGAAAATGGGTGTGGCTTTTAACACTCCGGAACAGAGTTTGAAATGCCTCTTCTTTTCTAGAAGACGCTACTTTTTGATCGTTTTTAGGTCTAAATTATAGCGAAGAAAGAAATTTTTTTTGAGTCT